GTACATGGGAGGGAAGGACACAGGGAGGAGGTGGCTATGGGGAGGAAGTGAGAGGAGAGCTGTTGCATTGTGGGAGATTACAGTCAATGTCATGAGATAAAGTATATGTGAACTGGTATATGGAAAGTGAATTTGCTCTGTAAGCTTTCACCCAAATCACAATAAAAAAAAAAAAAAAATACGACTAGAAGAACTGTCAACTCAAAGGTGAGTCAATATTAATGATGTGCTTTCAGCACCTCTACTTGTTGATGTGGCATGATGCAAAATGAGAAGAAACAGCTGCAAACATCCATTAAAAACTAGAACATGGAACGTACAAAGTAAGAATCCTGGAAAACTGGAAGTTGTCAGAAGTGAAATGGAACGCATAATGATCCCTATCTCACATATTACTGAAGTGAAATGGACTGGGATTGGCCATTTAGAATCAGACAATCATATAGTCTACTATGCTGGGAATGACAAAATGAGGAGAAATGGCTTAATTGTCAAAAAAGACATTTCATGATCTATCTGGAAATACAATGCTATCAGAGGTAGGATAATATCCATATGCCTATAAGGAAGACCACTTAATATGCCTATTATTCATATTTATACACACCAACCACTAATGTCAAAGACGAAGTAATTGAAGATTTTTACCAACTTCTGCAGACTGAAATTTGATCAAACATGCAATCGAGGCACATTGAAAATTACTGGTGGTTTATATGCAAAAGTTGGAAACAAATAAGGATTGGTAGTTGAAAAATATGACCTGGGTCATAGAAATGACACTGGAAATTGCATGATAGAATTTTGCAAGACCAATGAGTTGTTCAGTGGAAATACCTTTTTCAGCCACATAAATGACAACTATACATGTGGACCTACCAAGATGGAATACACAGGAACTAATCTGACTACATGTGTGGGAAGAGATGATGGAGACGCTCAATATCATCAGTCAGAACAAAGCCAGGGGCCAACTGTAGAAAAGACCATCAATTGCTCATATGTGAGTTCAAGTTGTAGCTAAAGAACATTGAAACAAGTTCACAAGAGCCAAAGTACAATCTTTAGTATGTCCCACCTGAATTTAGACACCACCGCAAGAGTAGATTTGATGCACTGAAGACTAAGGCCCGAAGACCAGATGAGTCGTGGGAAGGCATCATCATGATAAATGGAGAAATGAGTGAAGTTGTCAAGAATTTCATTTTACCTGGATCCAGGTAAAATCAGTGCCCACTGAAGCAGCAGTCAAGAAATCAAATGATGTATTGCATTGGGCAAATCTGCTGCAAAAGACCTCTTTAAAGTGTTAAAAAGCAAAGATGTCACTTTGAGGACTAAGGTGCATCTAAACCAAGCCATAGTATTTTGAATTGCCTCATATATGTGCAAAAGTTGGAGAGTGAATAAGGAAGACTGAAGAAGAATTGATGCCCTTCTTTTACGATGTTGGTGAAGAATATTAAATATACCACGGATGGCCAGAAGAAATAAAGCCAGAATGTTCTTTACAAAAGAGGATGGCAAGATGTCATCTCATGTACTTTGGATATGTTATCAGGGGGGACCAGTGCCTGGAGAAGGACATCAGCCTTGGTAAAGTAGAGGGTCAGTGAAAAAGAGAAAGACCTTCAATGACATAGAGTGACAGAGTAGCTGCAACAATGAGCTCAAACATGGCAACAATTGTGAGGAAGATGCAGGACCAGCGAGTTTTTCATTCTGTTATATGTAACATCACTATGAGACAGAACCAACTCAGCAGCACCTAACAAGAACAGTAACAGGTAAAACAGTACTTAGAAAGAAATTTATAGCTTTAAATGTTTACATTCAGAAAGAATACCAGCAACTTAAATTTCTACCTTCAGAAGCTATAAAAAGTAAAGCAAATAAAATCCAAACAGAAGGAAAGAAATTTAAGATAATTACACAAGAGAAGATAATAAAGAGTAAAACCCAACAAAATAGAAAGCACAGTGGTAGAGGTGGGAGTATTAAAAAAGCCAACCATTGGTTCTTTGAAAAGACTAACAAATTCAATGAAGCTCTAGCCAACTGACAAGAAAAAAAGGAAATACAAATTACTTAAAAAGTATTGAAAGAGGTACTGATACTGCAGGCAGTAAAGTGATAATGAGAGCATATCATTAAAGAGACAATAAGACAGTAACATAAATGACTTTTGTCAATACATTTGAAAATTTGATGAAATGGACAAATAATTTAAAAGACATAAGGCACCAAAACTGACATAAAATAAAGTCTAAATAGCCTTTTATCTATTAAAGCGATGAAATTCATTATTAGAACCTTCCCAGGTAGAAAACTTCTACACTAAATGGCTTCACTGGTTAATTATCAATCATTTAGAGAATATATAATTAAATTATTATACAAAATCTTTCAGAAAATAAGAGCACAGAACACTTTTCATTTTGTTTTATAAGGCCTGTTTTATAACCCTAGTATCAAACTTTCAAACATATATTACAAGAAAACTACCAACCAGTGTTTTCATGAGCATAGGCATAAAAATCCTTAGGAAAATATTAGGAAATTAAATCCAATAACATACATAAAAAGCTAATATATCATGGCCAAGTGGAGCTTTTGTTAGGAATGCAAGGTTGGTTTAACATTTGAAAATCAATCAATGAATTTCACTGTATCAACAGACTGAAAAAGAAGTATCATCTGATCATCTCAATAAGCGCAAATAAATGAGTGAACTTATCATAAACATGGTTTTGGTCCTATCTATAAAAACAAAACAAAACAAAGCCCACTGCCAATGAGTCAATTCTGACTCATAGCAACGTCACAAGACAGAGAACAGCCTCATAGGGTTTCTAAGGCTGGAAATCTTTATGGAACCCGACTGCCTCATCTTAGTGAATTCATTGCTTTAACAGATAAAAAGACATTTATATTTAGACTTTATTTTTGTCAGTTTTGGTAATGTGTGTCTTTCAAGTTATTTGTCCATTTCATCAAATTTTTAAATGCATTGACACAATACAAATGGTAGGTTCAAACCGCTGATATTCTGGTTAGCAGCCAAATGATTTATACCCATTGTACTTTACCCAGCTGGCCCTATAAACCAAAACCAAACCAAACTCACTGCCATGGAGCTGGCCCTATATCTACCATTAAATAGCTGTGTGATTTGGGCAGGTCAGGTAAACTCTCTGGGCTTTAATATTTTAATCATAAAATGAAATAGAAGAATTATGCCTTCAACTTTCAAAGTGTATCAAAATCACATAAACAGTTTGTAAAAAATGCAGATGCCCAAGTCCTAATCCTAGAAGTCCAGAAATTTTTATTCAGTTGGGGATGGTGCCAAGGCATGGTCTTAAACTCTCCAAATTATTCACTGGCACAATAAAATTCCCAGTACTAATATTTGATTAGTGAAGGCTGCTCCTTCACTATCACATTTTATGAAACAGACTTACCTACTATCTAGTAGCATCGCTATAAATACTTATGCTTATGTTTAAAATATATGAGACCTAAAAGGAAGGTGATCCTTAGAGCCTTAAAAAAATTTTTTTTAAAAAATATGTATGTGTGTTTGTGGATGTGTTGTCTCACTCAGCTACCTTATAGTTCATTTATTCCATACAGGCCTACCACAATCTGGCTGCTTATAAACCCCCTCTCCTCATCCCTCTCCAAAACCAACATATAAATATGGGTTCTTATCCAAATGAACATTCTACCTTACACAAACGAAAGTTTCCACCTAGAAGCATTGGTTTTACTGCTCAGCAGAGTAAAGGTACTCTCTGATAAGGATAGCAGGTGCTTTGTCAATTGTAAACTGCCAACATGAAAAGATAGTAATCTTTCTTTTCTTCTTTTTCTATTTCCTCTTTACCTTTTCAAGGATTGGGTGGCAAACACTCTGGGTTTTAATTCACAAAGTTATTTATGTAAGTTGTTCAGGGGCAAAAATACTGTAATAGATTCCAAGCTTTTGGTTTATTCTAAGCTTAGGAGAGTGATGTTTTTCCAACAAAGACAACCAGCTAAGGGGCAAGGCCTATCTCATCATTTATATATCTTGAACAACTGGGTTGATGATCTTAGTTTGTTAAATATGATGATAGCATCATCCAAACATGCTCGATCACTATTGGTTAATTAGATTTTTGCTGAGAAAAAAAATGATGCAGTTGGATCACACTGACCAAAGAACATAATCACCATTCCATGATCAACAGTGTCACCCTCAAATAGTAAAAAATGGCACATATTTTAAAGGTTTGCAACTTTCTTACACTGGAAGATTTCTTCAGCCCATGGGTGAGACTAGAATGCAGTCACCAAGCTCTCTACCTGCAGCATTGAGTGCTAATTACCTTGTGATTTTAGCTTCCTCCCTAGATATTTCAAAGTAACATTTTCTCTTTTAGAGTCTCTTTTCTAACTGCCAATAAAGAAGACTCCATGAGCACTGTTCTAGCACAGGAGAGACTGACAGCAGTTTTGAGGTTTCATGTTGAATAAGCATGTAAGTGCAGTGCTCTTTCCCTTTTTGGGATGATTCACCTTCAGGAGGCTGTCAAATCTGTATCTCAGTTATTTTATCAGATGTCTTGAGCATAGAGTTATTGAACTTCTCTTTACGAAATCTTTGTTTTTCTTCTAAACTCTAATACTCAAGCGACTACTGACTCATAAAGACTCCTAAGGTTGTGAAAGAGAGATGCCAATTTTCTAAATACATAAACAAAAATGTAATTTGAACTTCTGCCCTCATATACACAAATTTCAATTAGTTAAGCTTTAATGTCCTTCCCAAGTTTGCCTGGGAGAAGTCTCCCAAGTGGCTCTGGTACAGAAAGGTACAAGAATACAGGGGGGAAAAAAAAAAAAGATTAGGCAATTAATTTTTTTTTTTTTTAGTTGAAACTTTAACTTATTACTGGGTTCAGGAAACCTTAGAATTCAACTGTCTTGGTACTGAACTAAGCAAAGAGTCTTACCTTCTCGCCGATCATTTCTAAGAACACGCACTTTCTCAATTTTCCCCAAGAGAGCACCATCCTCAGCTAGGCAAAGAAAAGAAACAGCATTTTGAGAGCCTCAAGTTTTAACAAATGTGCTCTGTATTCAAGCACAGTAACTCTTGATTATTTAAGGGCTCATGGTCTCATTATGGGGCATTCCAGAGGCATCTCTCTTCTTCTGTGGCTCTGATTTCTGGCCTCTTCACTGTTCATTAAGGAGCTCTGGTAGCACAGTGCCTAAGGCATCTGATTGCTAACCAGAAGGTTGGTGGTTCAAACCCACCAGCCACTCCGGGGAAGCAAGACTGGGTAATCTACTTCCATAAAGATTTACTGCTTTGGAAATCAAATGGGGGTTGCTATGAGTTGGAATTGACTTGATGGCAATGGGTTTTTGTTTTTGTTTCACTATTCATTATCAGCCACAGGGTGAGGAAGGCTGGCAGCAAGAAAGGCCAGACTTGAGGGTGGTATCATACTTACGATCATTGCTGTAGTCATCCACCAAGATGATTTCTTTTATGAGGTAGGGAGGGCTTTTCTTAAGCACACTGAGAAAAGACAAAAAGATAAAGGTTGCCAGGCCTTTGTAGGTATAACTTGGGGTAGCAGTTCTCATACCTTTGACTCCAGACTTGCTGGAAGAACCATGAATACTTCCTTGTCCTGAACAGATGGTTCGCCTTCTCTTCACCCACAGACTGACAGCCATGGTCTAACTGTACTTGAATCCATGGCCTTGTGCCTAGCATCCCTCCACAGCTGCATAGGTGGGCAATGAGTGGCATCTCCTGGCCTTACCTGACCACTGTCCTCAGCAAGGCTGACCTGGCTTCATTGTGAAATGTGATCACCACGCTGGTGGCTGGGAGGCCTACCCTCCACTGCTTCCGCTGACACCTGAAAGAAGAGAAAAGCCATATTCTGAACAATGGGCCCAGAAAGCTGCCACAGGATTCTCTGGAGGACAAGCAGATGAACCTGTTAAAATGGACAGTCTATAATTACTATTTGCAAAAGTCACTGGTCTTTCTGAGATGAAATGCCAAGGGAACATAAGGAGACAGAAAAACACAACTGGAGCTACATTTTAAAAGATCAGAGATTTCAGTGAAAAGTAACATATTGTGAATGTGTTTCTAACACATTAGGCAAGGAAGAAGTGTTTTAAGTCCCATTTATACCCATGGGCAGATACACCTCAATAAATGTGCTTTTTACAATTTATAGTGGTTATTTTTGAGTGGTGGAACCAACTATGTGTCACTGTTTTCTCTTCTGATTGCCTGTTTTCTGTCTACCACGAGCATGTAGTATTTACATGATTTGTGGGGACTTGACTCTCACCAACAGCACCAGCACCAGCACCCCTTTATCCTGGGCAGCAGGGATGCCTTTTCCTTACTCCACCAGGCCATCCACAAATTTCACAAGTGACTGTATACAGGCTGAAGTAGACATGAGAGTATGGACTGATGGGTCCTGAACCTCTCACCTCTCTCTGTTGACTGAATAATATTGAAAAAACCCTAGAGTTATTTCTGAGTAAGGCTGATTCAGGGGCTTGGCTTACAAAGTATGGGCAGATTACAACAGTGTACTTCTGAAGTTTGGCCTCCACAGAGACAAGACTGGATGGGCACTGAATATTATTTTAAAAATTAGAACTCTGGTAAGTATAGGTTGAAGATGCTAGAGTACTACGCAGTGGAGATAAAAATGACCAGTAAAGGTAGGATTAGGCTTAGCAGACTTCACTACCAGAGCCTCTTTCTAGCTGCCCAAGTCAATGAATGGCCTTCCACAGGACCAACGGACTTTAAAAATACTGACCAATATACAGGTAATAATGCCAAAGAATCCTGAGATGACAATACTTTTTGAGGATTGCTGGAAACAAATTGTGGTTTGATTGCATTTAGAGAGTTAGTAAGTTGGTGCTAAGGAGCTCTAGTAGCACAGCGCCTAAAGCACTTGACTGCTAACCAAAAGGTTAGTAGTTCAAACCCACTAGCCATTCCATGGAAGGAAGATGGGACAATCTACTTCCATAAAGACTTGTTGTTGTTGTTGTTGTTGTTAAGTGCCGTCGAGTCATTTCCGACTCATAGTGACCCCATGCACAGCAGAATGAAACACTGCCCAATCCTGCGCCAGCCCCACAATCCAGCTTATAGACTGAGACAGACTAGGAAGAAGGAAGAGGCTGTCTACTTCTCAAAGAATTGGCCAGGGAAAACCTTATGAATAGCAAACAAACACTGTTTGGTACATTACCACGCACCTTTAATAATAGTCCGTTTAGGCTAAAAGGCTATCAAAATAGGACTGGGAAAGAGCCATAAAGACTTACTATCTTGGAAACCCAATGAGGGTCACTATGAGTTGGAACTAACTCTATGGCAGTGGATTCGGTTTTTGGTTTAAGTTGGTGCTATTACCAATATCCGTTTGGAAAAGAGGCAGACAGCAAAAACATTTTTGACCTCAGGGATACAATCTCTAAACTGTCATGCTTAAAATCAGTGGTTGAGAGAATGAAGAAGCCTGGTTTGTACCAGCAAGAGGGATGTGCTATGCTAGTTTCCTGGGGTCCCTGTGTGCCAGCATTCATATGTATGAGTACTACCTGCCACTCTGTAACTGACATACCACCAACGATTTCTAAAAAGCTAAAAAGCTTCCATGGGACCAATGCATTTTTTAAAAAATCGTTTTACTCTTTAGTTTTTAATGCAGTTTACCACAGTCACCAATTATCTACTCCCAGAATTAAAGACACTATCTGTCTTAAGTAGAATCAATGAGAAAAGGAGAGAGAAGGAAAAAAATCTTTGGAGCACAGCCATCACTAAAAACAGTTGAGTAATTACTGACTGAAGTGGACTTTCAACAGCTGGACAGTGACCAGCAGCTGCACATGAATGGGTACACCTTAGAGGAAAATATTCAGTAGGCACTAATATTCACTAATGACCAGGAAAGCTACTTCAGAGAGGCAATTTTTGAAAATGAGCTAGAGAAGCAGTGCAATTAAAAAGCAATAATGTCAGAATCATAAAATGAGTTTCTTTTGTTTATTTTAGTTATATGGTTAGATTGATTTTAATTAATCATGAGAAAATGGCATAATATACCAGTCATTCCTGTTTTGAAAAAAAAAAAAAACACATTCTGGAAATGACATTGTATCTCATTAAGGCTCCCAACAGCTAAGTCTTTACTGATAAGTAGACAGATAGGGTAGTGTCCTTCTATCCCCCAAAATCCTAAGAATTAGCAGACTGTTAGATTAAGGAAGTGAAAATTTGCAAGGCTCAACTGTAAACAAATTACCAAGGAAAGTCATCTCCAAGAATCCAATCTGTAATGCTAATGAAATAAGAGCTCCACAATAGGAGGGGGCCTATATCCACTGCAATTAGGTCCCATTTAACACAGTAGGAAGTGCTGAGCTAAGCAGACCTGTTTTGAATGATTTACTGAACATGGGCTTATGCAGCCCTGTAAGAATCTAAAAAGAGACAGAAGGAAGCATTTTTCATGCCCAAATCATAGTAAACTTAACTGAACCAATCATGTCCTATTCTCTCATTTTCCTCTCCTCAGCAGGAAGTCTAGTCTTCCAGGAGCATTTGGAAATCTCCAAAGGCTCGGGAAGCATTTTTCAGAACACACAGAGCTGCTGCATCCATATTATTTTATTATAACTCCCTTACATATTCATAAGGCATCCAGTTTTGCTAGGAATTGGCAATCAGAAAACTTAGAGGTTTCCCATTTTTAAGGTGAAGAGGGGTAACAAGTAAAAACTAAGAGAATCTTATATCCCTCAGCTAGTCTTAGTGTGTGTATGTATGTACATGAATTCTGATAAGTCCTGACACTGAGCCACTAAGGGGGGTGGGGGTGGGGTGAGGTTGGTACGAAGAATTTCTTTTTAAAAGAAATAAGATACGATCTACTTCCGTAGTGATACTGCCTTGGAAACCCAAGGAGGGGTCGCTATGAGTCGGGTCCAACTCAATGGCACGTAACAACAACAACATGCATTAAACAGTCATACCCCTGCTTAAATCAGTCTTTACCACTCCAGAGATGGTGTAGGAATGTCCAATGTAGTAACTAATCACAGGGAGGTGGCTGCTGGGATACTTTCATACTTGAGTTTTCTTTGAGAATCAGTAGAACCTGCAGTTTATTTGAAGTCAACAGCAGGAAAAGTCTGCAGTTAGTTTTGTTCTCCTAAAAGAATGGCCAAAGAACTGAGCAGCCACAACTTGGAAGCAGTGAGACTGAGGAAACAGGATGCAGCTTTGGGGTAGACTACATGGGCCCAGGGAGCTCTGGTAGCATAATGGCTAAGGCACTTGACTGCTAACCAGAAGGCTGGCGGTTCAAACCCACCAGCCACTCCTCGGAAGGAAGGTTGG